ATATCTCGCAATTCTGACTTTTTTTCCCTCAGAATTCCGAGTTCATATCTCGCAATTCTGACTTTTTTCCCCTCAGAATTCCGAGTTCATATCTCGCAATTCTGACTTTTTTTCCCTCAGAATTCCGAGTTTATATCTCGCAATTCTGACTTTTTTTCCTCAAATTCCGAGTTCATATCTCGCAATTCTGACTTTTTTCCCCTCAGAATTCCGAGTTTACATCTCGCAATTCTGACTTTTTTCCTCAAATTCCGAGTTCATATCTCGCAATTCTGACTTTTTTTCCCTCAGAATTCCGAGTTTATATCTCACAATTCTAACTTTTTTTCCCTCAGAATTCCGAGTTCATATCTCGCAATTCTGGCTTTTTTTCCTCAGTCCAATTCTGATAAAAAAAGCTTTCTTACAATTGCGAATTTATATCTCACAATTCTGACTTTATAACTCACAATTGCGAGTTTACATCATGCAATTCCGGGAAAAAAAAGTGAGAAGTAAACTCGCAACTGTAAGAAAAAGTGTCAAAATTGTGAGCTTAAAAAGTTAGCTTTTTTATTTTTTGTTCAGTGGCGGAAACAAGCTTCCATATCTGTTGTATTTTTTTACATTGTAGTATGCAGTATGCATGGACTAGCTAAGATGATATTACGTAGCTCTGTTTATTGGCAGTGGGCTTGGTTTACGAGGGAGCGCTGATTGTCTTGACGGTGATAGCTTTTCTCTTTCTCCTGCTGTCTGGACGGTTAACCTCTTTCCCCTTCATCTCCTCTCGCCTCCTTCTTCTTCTTCTCTCTCTGCCGCTGTCTCTTTCTCTGCACGCATGCTGCCTTTCGCTCAGACCCCGGCTCGCCAAAGAAATGCCGCGCTCGCTTCGGCCTCAACCAACAAACGGACTGGTGTGGCCCCTGCAGGTGTGTACGACTGCCACTAACACACGTGTTCAGCTCCAACACAACTGCTCTGCTTTAATCAAACACTTCCCTTACTGCTTCATTTGACTTTCAGCAAGGTTTTGGTCCATGCTTTGACTCATAGTTCTGTTTGAGCCAGACGTAACTTTTGCAGAGGGCTGGAAAAAGTACTGATCGATTATTATTTATTCTAGCCAACACTAGTCAGTCAGAAAGATTAGTGCAGACTAGTGCTGCATGATTAAATGAAATAAAACTGAAATACGGCTCAGTGTGATTATCAAGTCAGGAAGGCTGTGATTTAATTCATGCTCTAAGTTTGACAGTTTAACATTTGAAGAATGATGCAATAAGACAGCTATAAATATTAGTTTTGTAATTTTACATTTATAATTTAAATAAAATTATTGTTATATTATTAATCTTAAATATTATTTTTTATTTTACACTGAAATATTATAAAATACAGTATTTACTAATAATAGTAATTAATATGTTTGTTGTTGTTATATAATAATAGCAGTTATTATTATTATTTTATAGGCATATTGGTATAATCATAAAATGTTGGCCAAATTGTGCAGCGTTCCAAACAAGCACATTAAACCTGGAATTTTTTTAATCACATTTTAAATCACAATTAAAACATTTTTCTCAGAAAAATCACATTTAGATTTTTCCCCCCCAAATACTGCGGCTCTTTAATGTGTATGTGTGATCTACAGATAAGCTTTTTATTTTATTACTAAAACTTAATATACAGTATCAAAACATTAATATATAAAATGTATAACAAAACTTTAATATACCAAAATGTCAATTTAAGTTAATGATTCAATTAAAATGTGTAATACACCATGTGGTATGTTTAAAATAATGAAAAACTAAATTTTTGTAAATATGTGGCTGCAAATATTATATAAATACAATATATGGATGTCACATGGAGCAAAATGCATTAATATTTTAAGATGAACGTTATGCAAACATACTATTTTTATCATTGAAACTGTTACAGCAGCGGGGGAAGATGCGTGAACATTAATTTGCATCGTTTTACCTAAAAACGCCAAACAGATGCCGACATACAAATGCAGACATGCTGTCCACATTTAAGTGTTTCAATCTCGCAGATTTACTTCACAAATAACTGCTTCATGAGCTAAACATGATTTTCATTACAGTAAGCAAATCATTCACGCACACGCTCAAGCTCAGACCATACCAGTTCTTGGTCGGATCATTGAATCAGTGAGTCGATTCACGAATGAATCTTTCAGTGTGATTCCTGAACCAATTCAACAGATTCATTAGAAAGAATTCGCTTGTTCACAAATCAGAAATCACTGTCGCGTCTCAGGTGCCGATTTCTTCAGTTCAACATATGTTTTTATGAAAAGAACAATATTATGCTTTGTAGCGAAACAAGTAAAAGTTTCACAAAATAAAAATACAGATACATGAAAAATCTCTACTTAAAGAGACAGTGCACCCAAAAATGACAATCCTGTCATCGTTGACTCACCCGCATGTTGTTGTATGAGTTTCTTTCTTCTTTCAGCTGAACACAAAAGAAGATGTTTTGAAGTATGTTGGTAACCAAACAGTTGCGGTAGCCATTGACTTTCATAGTATGGGGAAAAGAAGATATTGAACACAGAAGATATTTTGAAGACTGTGGGGAACCAAACGGTTGCCGGTATTTCCCCCCCCCCCCCCCCCCCTTAACATCCATGGGCCCATGTTACTCAGTTCCACTATTACCCACTGTCTGACACCTCTGTTCAAAACTAAAGCAAAAGTGTTTAAATTGAGAACTGTCTACTAAACTGTTAAAAAGTTAGCAGTTTATTTTGTTTTATTCTTTGGTCATGTCTTATCTCGCCTAGGCAAAAAAGTGAGCCCTCAGCTGGTGTCCTTAAAAAAAGTGCATGACGCCCCTGTGTGTGTCCCATTTTACCTTATCAGCAGCTCTGAGCTGCTGCACTGATGGCAGTGACTGATAGCAGAGAGTGTTGTACGTAACCAGCCCGCCCCCAACCTCATGGAAATGAACCAGGGAACGGATCACAGCCAATAACCAATGAGAAGCTGACTTTACCCTGCCGTGCCACAAAGCACGGCCCCATTCCTCCATTTCCTACTTCACTTTATCACCAGCCTTGGCGAACGACTGTGAACAATTATCAGCGGCACAGTACTGATTCCCTAATAGCTCCATTAGCCGGAGCAAGTCATTTCTGATGTTGGGTGCAGGTTTAATCCGAATCCATCAGTGCTGAGGCGGCACATTCTGTAGCTCTGAATCGGAAAGGCTTTAGATTTCTTGAAATAGATTCAGCAAAATGCAAACTTCAGTGTTTTATACACAATTATGATTGTATCAGTGTGTTTTTATCCCTCTCTGACATTAGTTGGGTTTAAATCTGTGCTGATCTTGGTCTCTTTTTTATGTGTATATAGTAAGTGTTCATAGTGTGACTAAAGTGCCAGGCCATTTAAAACCCACTATACTGTGTTGCAGGTCGTGGTGGTATAGTGAGGGCATTACTATGACCCTGTTTACACCTGAATTTAACATTATTTTTTTGTCATCAGATCACAAGGGGTTCTAAAACGTGTTTTAAACATTTTGCGATCGGTTTCATTTTAAAACATGTTACTGTAAATGTGACTGTTCAGTATTTGTATGAATTGCTGAGTGCACAAGTTTCTGAAGTAAAAAAAAAAACACTTGCAGAAAACAAACATAAAAGATCTTTTAGTACTGTCCTTCAGAAGCTCCATATATAGTCCACATAAAGAATTGATTATTTTTGAATTATTAACATCTTGAAGATTCTACAATCTTACGCACTCAACTGTAAATACCGTTCCTGCTTGTGTTCGTGAATTGAAATGCATTTTGAATGTATTTTACTGTTAAAATGTTGAATGCGATTGGCTTGAAATTCCTCTGATCTATGCTTTTGAGTTCGTTCAAAAACTTACGGAAGAATCGTGATTTCTGCATGAAAACATTCACTCACCATGAGAATAAAACTTCACAGGAGATTTAAGTGTCAGGATTTTTTGGGAAAAGCTTAAACTTCCGTCAGAACTGTTGAATAAAGCACTCCTGCTTTCAGTTATTTCACACGTTGGTTTTTTGCACTTATTTTACACTATATATTCTGGCATAACTGTTTGTTTTGTGTGCTCTTTATTTTTTGTCATTGTTGTCCAGAGTTCATATTTGTGACGTTTCACATCCACGCTTTATTCACAGATAACTCTCTTGACTGTTCCTAGGAGGAAAAAGAAGTGCATTCGCTACCTTCAAAGAGGACGCTGCGCCAGCCCCCATTCTTCCGATGGAAGTGCTATAGACTCCTCCCCTTCACCTGTCAATCACCCGCCAAACCCCGCCTCCCCCACCAGCAGTCCCCTCCCACAGAGCGCCAAACGCTCCGCCCACCCGCCCAGACTCTCGCTCGACTTCAGCAGAATTAAAACAGAGAGCGCCGTAAGGCAGCCACAATGACTGACGGCTCGGTCGCTGCGGAGACTGATCTCACGTTCTTCAAGTTCTCTTCACTTCAGTTTCCTCGGGACATGGGGCATCCTCTCATCTTTTAGGAAGTCATGGAATTAGATTTCCGTGTGGATGAATCTCATGAAGAATGTTTTTTTCCCCTCCCGTTTTCATTCATTTTAATGACAATTACGCATATTGTATTCATTACCAATAATGAAAAAAATATAATTTTTGCTACTGTAGTTTGGAATATATATATATACACACACACACACACACACACATATACAGGGTTCAACATTTACACTTCTATATCCCGATAGTTAAGCAGTTAAGGAACATTACACGAGCAAGAGTGCTGTTTTCCCAAATATCAGCACGATTGCAAATGTGATATTGATTTTATTCAATTCAGCAAACAAGAATTTTATATTGAACGAGTTACATTTTAGACACCAGTATTACCAGTAGTTGCAATTCTCTGAGTGTCTTTGATCTGTTGAGCGAACAATTCAATGACTCACTCGTTTTCTCATTTTTGAACGAATCTTTTGAATGAATGACTCAAGACTGTCACTTACAGCCACTGACTGGTAGGTTAGTTTCATATTTATATTATATATGTATATATAAAACATAAATCTCATAACATTATTTTGCAGTGTAAATGCATTTATGCCACCTCTGTTTCATGAAACAGTCTGTGCGTCTAAATGCAGTGAAAATATATATTTGGCTGATACTGATTTTATTTGTTTGGTAGCAGCCGTCTAGCCACAATTACAGTAGTGGAATTTTTTTCTTTTTTGTGCAGTACAGTAATGTGAATTTTGAGGGAGATGTGCTTAACTGTTATCACAATCCCAAAAATCTGAATAACTTGATTTTCTTTGTGCAAAATGTATTTTTGAGCTGGATGTTTCTTCATGAGATTCAGCCACTGTGTGGAGATCATGACCATGTCTTTACATCACTGAAAACAGTGTCAGTTCTCACCATAACTCTTGTACAATCAAATAAGTGTTGTTAAACTTCATCTTTTATAGACCGAAAGGCCGTAAATAACTAAACTTTTATATGTTTTTATGTAAAGAGAGGAAAAAAAGAAAAAAACATTCCTTGGATATATATATAACACACATGCATAAGCACTACATATACAGTACATGCATATATCTGTGTGTGTACACTCTCATACATACATATATACACCCAGACAGACAGATAGTGTTGGGGAAAGTTACTTTTAAAAGTAATGCATTACAATATTGCGTTACTCCCTAAACGTAACTAATTGCATTCGTTTTTTTTTTTTTTTTTTCGTTACGTTACTTTTGCATTACTTTTAGTCAGCTGAGCTGGGCTTGCTTATTTGTTTAACAACAACAAAAAATCAAAAGTTATATTTTTGGCACCCATAAAAGGTACTCATTTCCCATTTCTCTGAACATTGGGATGTCAGTGAAAAAGCAACTTGCATTACTTATTCAGAAAAGTAACTCGGATATTTTGTTAATTTAAAAGTAATGCATTACTTTACTAGTTACTTGAAAAAAGTA